GTTGAATAGTTGTGAGCCCACAACGGTGTAGACTTTGGTTCAGTTTTAGTAAATTTGCCAAGTTCACATCTCTGATGAGCATAAATCACATCAAAAGCACACAATGACCACACGCCTCGCTGACCGCGATTGCTCATAAAAGCGAGCGCAGAGCACGCACGGGGACATGAGCACCTACCTGGTCAGTTAAGCCTCCACCAAACGGTAAATTATAGCTATCCGTTACCTTTATAGGTTGGCTTGCACTCACATTTCATGCCGCTATTGTCCAATACTAATTATCATTGGAAAACCTACATTAGATTCGGTGCTCATGTCTCATGCACAGGTGCGCTGCGTCAATGCAACTTTGTAGCGTAGGCTGATGCATTAGCCCGCTGCCCATCACTACTTCATGAATCCAAGCGGCAATAAAGGTAAACATGCAATTTAGTGTATTGGCCTACTGTCCGTGGCTCAACCAGTGCAGTTTATGCCCTCCCCCCTCCTGTTTTTATATTGCAGAATTAGATGAGTCATGTGAATTATATTTTCCCACGTCAAAATGGTGAATTTCCATGAAAGGCGACAGATTTGCATGCATGTTTGATGCATGCTCTGTCTGATTCTTCTGCTTTTGATGACTGTTGTCAGCCAGGGGAAAAGAGCACTGGCTTGTGGACTTTAGAAAACCATTCAGTCATCATTCTTCACTCCACCGCCATGGCATTGTTCAAAGTTTGCCTCTGCAAGAAAAAGGTAAAATACATGTTGAAAAATTATTAGCCAGGACTGTAGCCAAGATTTTACAAATACTAAGGTTCAGTTCCTGTGCTCATTAAACATTTACCTTTACCTACAATAAATAAATCCATGGCTACAACCATGCATTTATTAACAACATGTGGACATCATTATTACTTACTTTTTTTTGTGCTCATTGTTGTTGTTCTCTCGACCTGATAATTAAAAGCAGAACATGTGTTAACAACCTCGACTTTATTAGCAAATTAATATTTAATATTGTTAATCTGATCAAGTTTTTTAGAAAGTTTGCATTAGCGACAATGACAGAACGCGCTGAACATTCTGAGGCATACTTTTGTAAAGTGTCCTGACTGGTTCATTGGCCCACATTCACACGCGGTCTTTCAAACACAGACTGAAGCCAGTTGGGTAACACTACTACTATAGTAATATTATGTGCGTTGCTACATAGACAATTCGTTTATGCTCTCATATCATTGTGCTTTTGGTACAATCATAGTTACTGTCTGGTGTTGCTCCTCTGACTAGCGGTTCAGAGGGCATATGCCTCCGTGAAGTAACACCTGTGATAAAAAGTACAGACAAGAGCACATGCGTTGAGCTGCGTTTACTTCAAGAGGATTGATTCTTCCTCATTTGCAATCAATCAGAAAATGTACATTTACTTTTACATTTTTTTCCATATCCACAATAACACGAACTAAATCCATTTTTAACAAGAGCTTTTACATTAAATTAATTACTGTTTTTTAATATTTGAATTTACAAAAAAAAAACAAAGAAATCGTCTCAATTATTCTCGGTGCTTGTGTACTAATTTAAATGTCCACAAGGTGGCACCAGACTCAGAACTGGACCATGTGCTTTTTTGCACTTACAATACTGTCTACTGATAATTGTTTAAACAATCAAATAAACTCAACAAAACAGTATTACATGAAATAAGTTTCATAAATGTTCACAAATGCCACTACTCATGTGGTTCTTGTACCATAAAGTGGTGTGGTTCAAGTTTATCCACGTCGCAATTTCCCTACCATGACCATTAGCTTAGCAGGTTAGCATAAAAAAAAACGAGACACATATTCACACAAACCATCACACAAACTTCACTCTACACATTACCACGGTTCACAATACACTCCTAAGACACCTGATAACTCTAACAATTGGCATCAACATGTGTTTTTAACGTTTTACCAACCTGTGATAAAAAGTACAGACAAGAGCACATGCGTTGAGCTGCGTTTACTTCAAGAGGATTGATTCTTCCTCTGCAGCGCTCAGTCTACTTTCTACCCACTCTGCGCGATATGCGCCAACTACTGGTCACGGGAGGAACTGCACTTAAAACAATATAGAGATTGTAGTAATCACATGAATAGCTACTAAACAAACAAAAAATAAAGTTCTCAATAACAAAATAAAAATGAGGGGTGCCTGTTAATCATTTTGCTCTATTTCCAAGCCTCTACACTCTCCCCCACTTAATTTAAATGTCTCCTGTTAAGTACCTGGTACTTGCTGTTAAGTACCTGGTACTTGCTGTTAAGTACCTGGTACTTGCTGGTAAGTACCTGGTACTTGCTGGTAAGTACATGGTATACTATATAATTACTGGTATTATCACTAGTACTTATGGGTAAGTCCTTTGTCTTATTATGGGCCAGTTCCTATGGTAAGTACCTGGTACTTGCTGTATAATTACTGGTGTTATCACTGGTACTTATGGTGAAGTCTTTGACATATTACCAAGTCATTTGTATGTGGCCAAGTCCTTTGTCTGTGGCTAGTACCAGGTACTACCTGGTACTTACTGTGCTGCCAAGTACCTGGTACTTGCTGCCAAGTACCTGGTACTTGCTGTGCTGCCAAGTACCTGGTACTTGCTGCCAAGTACCTGGTACTTGCTGCCAAGTACCTGGTACTTGCTGCCAAGTACCTGGTACTTGCTGCCAAGTACCTGGTACTTGCTGCCAAGTCTTACTGGTGTGTTAATGTGTAATTCTTGTTACTTGGGTTGGGTACCTAGTTCTTGCAGTGTTTCCCTTGTCCTTGAAACTTGTTTTGAAATATGCATTAAATGTATTTATACTGTCCTTTCTGTGCTACTTATTCCATATTAATAAAGACGTTTGTTTTACATAATGTTGTTTTATGTTTTATAGTCGAACAATCCTACAAATGACCTCTGTATGTATGTATGTATGTAGAAGTACCACATTTACTACATAGGAATAATGCTGTAGTATCCTTGAATTACTAAGTTACAGCTGTATCTAGAATTATCACAATAAGTACCTAGAAGTACCACTGTAAGTACCTCTGTAAGTACCACAATAAGTACCTCTGTAAGTACCACAATAAGTACCTAGAAGTACCACTGTAAGTACCACAATAAGTACCACTGTAAGTACCTCTGTAAGTACCACAATAAGTACCACTGTAAGTACCTCTGTAAGTACCACAATAAGTACCACTGTAAGTACCTCTGTAAGTACCACAATAAGTACCACTGTAAGTACCTCTGTAAGTACCACAATAAGTACCACTGTAAGTACCTCTGTAAGTACCACAATAAGTACCTAGAAGTACCACTGTAAGTACCACAGTAAGTACCTCTGTAAGTACCACAATAAGTACCACTGTAAGTACCTCTGTAAGTACCACAATAAGTACCACTGTAAGTACCTCTGTAAGTACCACAATAAGTACCTAGAAGTACCACTGTAAGTACCATGGACTTACCGGCCCGTAATGTAAAGTGTTACCGACATTTGGAACAATAACCACTACGGACTATAGATACAGGTCCTAGCCCAATACTCATATTCATATATGCTGCACTTGCTACTTCCCATTAAAAACCCCAAAGATAAAAAGTATGTTGACACGGACTGCTCTGATTTTATGTGTGGTCTGTGCATGTGTAACTGAGCCTGCATCTGACACAACATCCAATTAGATCCCGTAGATAGTTTTGATTTACCAGCAGCAAACGACATGGAACAAACTGGTCCATGGGTCAGAGACCAACGAGAATGCACCAGCAAAGTGATTCCTAACATTATTTTGTTTGCCTACAAAAGTACGTGGAGACCAACAAGAAACAAATCGCGGTCAAAAACACTCGAGAGGACTCGAAAGTCAAACCGTAGGACTTGGGACCGACTTGAAATTTGTTGGCCTTTGACTTGGACTCGCCTCGGGACTTGCCTGTCTTGACTCGTGACTTGACTCGGGACTTGAGGGCAATGAATTGAGACTGACTTGTGACTTGCTAAACAATGACTTTGTCCCACCTCTGCCAAACGCAGTATCACAGAATCACACCATTCACACGCAGCGGAAGGTTTTTAAAAAATGGACTCATAATTATAGTGTAAGTGCTTCATGATTTGTATGTGTTCTGTGGCACACGCTGCTTGCTTTTACCTTTTTTAAATCTGTCCTTGTAGAAAACATTTGGAAGAGTTGTTATTGCTCCTGTTGGATGAGAATCTCGGCGTAGTGCATCATCGCTCGATTCCCTGAGGTCCTGGATCCGCCGCATGTTGTGACTTAGGATGTGGCAATTTACTTTGACGAGTCTGGATTTATCGCTGCTGATTTGTATTATTTTTTTTCCTTACCTATTCTGAGCCGTGGCAGTGGGTAATCACGCCTGTCGCACTTGCATATTTCACAACTTATTAAAGTGACAAGCGAAAGTGCGTTTAGTCTTTTTATCGGGATGTCAGTGTTAACTGACTCGCTAGCTGAAGTTGGAAAAATATTGCACCTATTAAAAAGTAAACGGCTCTTAGTCACACTCAACATTTTGGCTTCAAATGTGCTGGATTTAATGGTTAAAAAGGAAAGAAATAAAATCTCTATCGCTCTCTCTCTGGTCTCTCTCTCTCTCTGGTCTCTCCCTTTGGTCTGTCTCTCGCTTGCTCCCTCTCTGGTCTCTCTCTTTCTCTTGCTCTCTCTATCTCTGTCTCTCTGGTCTCTCTCTGTCTCTCTCTCTCTATGGTCCCTCTGGTTTGTATCTCACTGGTCTCTCTCCCTGTCTCTCGCTCTATCTCTGTCTGCTCTCTCTCTCTGGTCTGTTTCTTTGGTCTCGGCCTCTCTCTCTCTGATCTCTCTCGCTCTCTCTGGTCTGTCTCCTCTCTCTGGTCTCTCTTGCTCTCTCTGTTCCGTCTCTCTCTCACTCTGGTCTCTTCTCTCTCTCTCTCCCTGGTCTCTCCCTGGTCTCTCTGTCTTGCTCTTAGGTGAAAGTGAGGAAGAAGATGTTGGACGGAGGAGCCACGGACGTGTACAGCAGCGTGGGAACAGGTAATGGCCGCCACCCTCCCACCGTTGCCATGGTAACGCTGTGAAAAAAGAGCGAGCCACTGTGCTGGACGATTGGGAGAGAACTGCACATGTGGATTAGCTGAGGATCAGTAGATTACAACAGGGAACAATCTGTGACATTGATTTTACATTTAAACAAAACAAGTGGTGGGAGCACAGCTTTGTAAATGTCAAACCAAGATTTGGAAAAGTATGATGCATAGAGAAAGTGCCTTGTTCAATTTTATTTTGTATAGGATTACTGCAGTGATCTGACAATGTCAATTTTCCAACAACAGATCAGAGAATCAAACACCAAGAAATGCAATAATAAGATACACGGAAGAAGTATGGGTCGTATTATTTTAGGGGCATAGAATAAAAGTATCAGATGGGTGATCTGCTGAAAAAATTCCAACAACACAAAACGTTGTGTCTAATTTGGAAATATGTTTATCAAAAAAACGATTTCTTTAGCCCACCCTCCTGGTAAAAGTACACTTACAGTTGTATGTTTGAGAGTGTACCCTCCCAACTAATATCTAAAAAGTGCAGTATAGACAGAAAAGTGAAATACTAGTAGCCTTGTGTAGTTGTTTTATCTCTGATTATGCCTCTTCCTCACAAGTGATAAAACCAGTGGTGTGCGTGTGTCTTCGTGTGTGTGCATGTACAGTAATCAGCTGTCTTGTGTGTACTCATTACCGCTGTCGTTCCCCTCGTTAGCCCTGGGTAATCCTCCTAATCTCCCCCGTCTACATTCTTGGATGGTGACCCAACAATACTGCCCCCCTGTGCACAGATCTTCCAGTTCCTCGGCAAACGTGCACTAAGAGATTTCATATTAAAGGGGACGTACCATGCACAGTTGTTGTCTCACACTGCGTCACCATTGGCTGGAGCCTCGGACCACTGCCACTGCCCAACACTGGTCCTCATCGCTTTGTTCTGTCATTTTCTTTTCTGAATCTATGTTATGTGAACATTTTTCTGTCAAACTGTTAATTTACACAGGAGGCGTTACAGCACATACGCGCAGCAGATGTGCGTAAAATTTTTACATGTTAACCAATGGGGATATTTACACTACAAATGTTATACGCGTGTATGACGGACGTATTGACGCGAGGCTGCGCCTAATTTAGGATGGAGTCCTAATTTTGTCCGCGCAACAATGCGTTTCCCATTGAAAACACAATTTTTATAGTGACCCTTGGCTTTAGATTGCATCAACACACACACAGCACTTGTATCTAAACATTAGCAGGAGGACTGGCAGGTTTTACAGTGATTCTAGACATTGGGCCTCATTCACGAATAACTTCGTAAGAAACTACTCAACTTTCTTCTCAAGTTGTCCTTAAGTAGATTTCTAAGAAGTCCCCACGTGGGATTCATCAACGCACTCGTAAGCCGCTGAATTGTTCGCAGCTGTTCTCTCAGATTGATGAATCCCATTTCCTCGTAAGTACAGCGCGCGTGCCAGGTGCTTCATTAGCATAGGTACTTAGCATAAGTAACCGCCCACTAACGCCCATATAAGGAACTGCAGGGCCGTGTGCAGACGGCTGAGGAAACAGCAACAGGCCTAAAGCAAAAAGTTACACGGAGCAAAAGAGTCACCCTTTTTTCTTCTTTTACCAGACTGAGAATAAAGTTATAAAATGTTGACTTAAAAGTCGAAATATTATGATAATAAAGTCGAACTAGCAAAATTATGAGATTAATCTAAGAATATGATGAGATTAATCTCAAAATGTTATGAGCTTAATTTAAAAATATATTATGTATTATTTTAAAGATGAATCTCAAAATGTTTTGAGATTAATCTCAAAATATTTTGGACCCTGGGAGGAAATCCAGCGCGGACCAGCGCTGAGACCAATGCAGACCCGAGGAGAGACTGGAGTGTCCAGCACACAGAAACCAGCGCGGACCTATAGGAGAGACCGCATAGACTGGAGTGACCTGACTGGAGAGACCGGTGCGCAGAGACCAGCGCGGACCGAAGATAGACCGCATAGACCAGACTTGAGAGACCAGCGCGGACCCGTATGGATCCAGGAGCATGCAGCACGGACCCGTATGGAGAGAGACCAGTGCAGACCCGTATATGGGAGAGACCAGTGCAGACCCGTCTAGATCCATGGGAGAGACCAGTGCAGACCCGTATATGGGAGAGACCAGTGCAGACCCGTCTAGATCCATGGGAGAGACCAGCGCAGAGACTCAGCGCGGACCCAGTAACCTCCTGCAGCAGCAGTATATATGCCGTTGTTCTGTGGCCCGTGGATAAAGAAATGCCCCCTATAAATAGGAAGGGGTCACTAATACACGGCAAGATTTCCAATGTATTTGATAAAGCGTTGGCACATTTCATTTCAAAATGAATTAAAAAGGAGGCCAGATCTGCAGTGAAAAAGGCGGTATATAAATAAAGATTACTAATAAAGATTACTACAAATAAATAAATACATACATCGATATGACGGACATATCACTGGAATGTTGTATTTTTATTCAACTTCACCAAAGAGGACAACCCCCGCGTGTGAACATGTCGGCACTGAATGCGTACGAGTGCTCCTGAGGACTCGTAGGATTTGTACTTGCCCAAGCGAAATTCTGGTTACGAGAAATATTCGTGAATGCCACTTTCTTCGTAAAAACCGCGTAAGTAGGATTTACGTACAAATCTGTTCCTAAGAACCATTCGTGAATGAGGCCCAATGTTTTTTTTCTCTTTCATAAAGTCTCGCGTCTGGCCACACCAGCGCACAGAGACCATGAAGACAAACACATACATGTGATTTGTGTTGCTCTACATCAGTCCTCTGGCCCATACTGTCCTCTACACTGCTCCATAGACTAGACAGGGACAGCATCAGAAGCCGCGGACCTACGCGCACGGCCTGTGTAGATACACTCAAATAATGTTACGCACAGATGCGCGCAGTCAACGCCTACTGTGTAAATCCCCTGATAGATTTGCATAGCAGACCGAAGAGGTGTTCTTCTAATATTTTTCAGTGTTGAACTGATCAAACGAAAAGTAAGGACAAATCAGAAACTTTGGATTGTCTAAGCACCGCAAAACATAACTGTTTTCAACCTGGATTTGAAGATTGTCAGAGAAGGAGCCTGTCTCACGTTTCCAGGAAGACTGTACCAGGTTGTAGCTGCATAAATCTAAAATGCTGCCTTTTGATTATTCCTGACTCTGGGCACCACCAGGAGGCCAGTCCCTGGGCTCCCAGAGGAGGAAGCCAGTCCCCGTGCTCCCCAGGAAGCCAGTCCCTGTGCAGAGTCAAAGATTTACTTAGTGCCGAGGCCATGGCCAGAACTAAAGTCAATTCTTATTAACAACATTGTTGTTATGAATAATTTGGGAAATACTGTGTCCAAAGTTTAGAGTGAGTAAGATTGTGACTGTGTTTATCCCAGTGTGACCACAGATGGAGGATCGTAACTCCTCTATAGTAAACACTAACACTGGGCTTTCAAAACAAAGAGCACATTTATGAACCTGCTGTTAGCGAAGCCGAAACGGTTACCGCTTTTAAAATCAGCCGTTATTGTTTTTCCTTGATAGACCCAATTGTGAAAGCAATGGTTCTACAAAACGCATCTAGCTCCAGCAAATCAGTTGCAGTAAAAGCCAAAAAGGCCTGAGTCAACTTCATGGTTTATTTTATTTGGGAAAATTAAACGTTTGAACTCTTTTATTTTGGTTCTGATTGAATGAAAGTAGGTTATTTAGAGGATGGTGGGTCAAAAGAGGGAAGAAGGAAAAAATACAGTAAGACGTTATATCTTGTATTAACTTTATATTTTCGTTTATTTGAAAAGTTGAGGAGGGGTAAGAAATAGACAATATAACAAACTTATGAGAGGTATTAAGAACATATAGACTATAAAGTACAACTGTTGAAAATACTATATCTATAGATTACACATCCTTTGACTCAAATTTAAGATTATCCCAAAACTATGTCTAATATATTTCTAAGGTATTTCTGGTCTCTTTAATGTCTTGTTTAGTCTTCTTAAGGTCTCCCTAGTCTCTCTCTGGTCTTACGGTCTTTGTGGTCTCAGGTCTAAGGTCTCTCTGGTCCCTCTAAAACTAAGGTCTCTCCGGTTCCTCTGAGGTCTTTCTGGTCTCTGAGGTCTCTCTAAGGTCTCTCTGAGGTCTTTGGGTCTCTCTGTGGTCTCTCTGGTTCCTCTGAGGTATCTGTGAGGTCTCTCTAAGGTCTTCCTCTTGTGTCGTCCCTCTGTCCGCTGCAGGGTGTCTGCCTTGGAGACGTGGTGAGCTGTTGTTAGTGTCTCACAGTGTGTCCCCATCCAGCACCAACCCCCTCTCTCTTCTAAAACCACCTCTGTTTTATTTGGCACTCACATTTTCAGGAAGACTGTTCCATATTTTAGCATAAATGTGAATTGCTGCCTCCCCATGTGTAGTCCTGACTATAGGACCAGCAGGAGGCTGTGCTCCTCAGAGTCCGAGTTGGTACATATGGCACTAACATGTCTCAGATGTACCTTGGTGAAAACAATCTGTGTAAAAAAATACTTGGCATGAAACAATAATAGCCTTGGTTGTGTGCTATTGTTGTGATACACCACCATAGTGTGTAACCTTGTGTCTGTCTGTGTGTGTTTTTACATTGACCTCTCCCTGTGCACAGAGACAGAGCAGTCCTGGCCTTCACTTGGCTCCCTGCACAATGTCCAAAACAACTCAGGTAAGACTTGTACTTGTACTTGTACAGTTCTTGTACTCCAAAATCCAATAGTATAGCTGAATAAGTTCAAATCAGAGACTCTAGGAGTGGGCTAACGCACACATATAGCGTTTGACTAATTCTGAAAAATTAGTCAAACAGCCCAATGACGAAGGTCGCAACGGCCTTGCAACAAAAAAAGTCGCAAAGCAAAAATCAGGAGCTGCTTTTTGATTGCTGGTCCTTTTTTACTTGAAAGCTAAAACCGAATGCAGCGACGGGAAGCCCCTGATTGGTGAGTTTGTTAGCGTTAATCAGAGTTACAAAGACATGATCAAAACTAAAGACTCCTCTATGGTCTCTGGTTAGCACCCGTCCATTTCTGTACAGTCTAAGGTGAAAAGCGTTCTCAAAATCTATATTGTCAAAATCTCTTTTTCGTTCCTAAAATGCTGTCATATTTTCTGTACATTTTGCATCTTATCGGTTTTGTCTTGTCTTGTGTCCAGGGAATAAGAGCCCAGACACTCCAATGCGCAGGAATTGCAGTTTCGCAGACGACCTGGAGGTGGAGCCAGAGAAGAACGGCCTGTCCCCTGTGTCCGCAGTCTCTCAGTGAGTCACTCTAACATTCTAAAACGTTTATGGACATTTATCAACATTCATGGACATTGGTCAGACACCCCCTGTTGTTAAGTCCTCTGAGATATCTACTGTTGTGATGTCGGGCTATACAAGAATAAATTGAACTGAATTGAATTAGCTCCAGAAGAATGGCTGCCACTGCGCTTGGTTTCTGTATGCTGTGTGTAAAAGGGTTTGCCAAATGAATCACAATAAAACTCACAATTGTAGAGGTCATAATTAACAGATCACAAACAATCTTGATTTGGTCACATTTTAGTTCAGCCCTCACACATTAACAGATATTTATGTGCTAATTATTGTATAATTTATGGTTAATTTGTTCTAAAGTGGTATTTATTTAGCACTTATTAGCACCTCATTCTATTGTACATTCTAACTAATTACTAACTGTTGGTCAGGGTTGTAGTTAGGGTTGGGGTTGGGGTACACTAATCAGCACTTAGTTATCTGTCAATTACTGATTAAGAGATTTAGAAATCCTGTAATCGTCCCACAGTGAGGTATTTCAGTGTTGCATCACCAGTTACAGAACAGTAGGAATGAGGACACTCAACACAAGATAAATAAACAATAAATAAAAAAATGTCTCAATTTTATGATATTAAAGCGAGAATTAAATATACAATCACTGACTTTAACATAATAAAGAAGCAAGTATATAACATTCTAGGGACCGACATTGCAAATTTACCTTGGTTATAAATGTTGTAGTGTTTCACGGTGTAAACTTTTCCTTATTAAATAAATAAATAAATAATGATTGTATATTCTAGTGCAAGAAATATATAGTGAGGGCTAATCTTACCCTTGATTTTAGTATATTTTCAATCAAATGAACATTTACCTGTCTGAGTACACTGGTGTCTGCTTGATCCGTTTAAATGCCATGAAAATTGTTGGATAAAAGGTGACGGATTTAAAGTTTATGAATACATAGAATACAATATTGCTCTCACCTAACAAACAGTGAAGGACGTTGTACTTGTTCATTGCTCGCGAAGAGTTTTGAACCCTGTGATAAAAAGAGAGTGTCTAATGCTTAAGTGCAGAAGAAGAAAGAGAGAAAAGTTGCTTGTGGATTTCTTGATGATACAATGCTATACAGGATTTAAATTAAAATCATAACCTTGACTTTAATCTGTTAAGATTAAGAGATCCTTTATTTGTCCCACAGTGGGGAAATTTCAGTGTTGCATCACAGGTTATAGAACAGTAGGAAAGAGGAGCACACGGCACACGTTACGTTGTGTGACTGTATTTGTGTGGGTGTGTGTGTTCCTAATAATGAACAGCAAGGAAACTTAAATCAGAAGGAGCTCCATAAATAAGATAAGATAAGATACTCCTTTTTAGTCTCACATTGGACCAGTACAAGAGGACCATCGGAGACCTCCAGGACCAGTACAAGAGCACCATCAGAGACCTCCAGGACCAGTACAAGAGCACCATCGGAGACCTCCAGGACCAGTACTAGAGCACCATCAGAGACCTCCAGGACCAGTACAAGAATGCCATCAGAGACCAAATGGATTAAACAGTGGTTGAACATTTTGGGATGCAGAGAGAAGCAGATATAAAGATATTATTACATGTTTTCGGACATTTATTGTGAAAACCAGCACAACAGGGAGACCATAAACTGAGCCAACACTTCAAATTGAAAGGACATATGATGCTCTTGGTTTTCCTAATCTGGGATCTCCACCCTTGCCATTTCATGCTTGCATATACACTCTCATCTCAGGAACAGATGTGGCAGTGCTGCCCCCGGTGGCCAGACTATAGAAGACGGGTTTCATGTGGACTAATGCATAACACTCCACAGATGGTCCGTGCCTCTTCACATCTTCTACCACCTGCTGAGGTCATCACCATAGCCCTGTCTGCCTCTCACATCTGTGTATGTGTGTGTGTGTGTGTGTGTGTGTGCGTGTGTGTGCCCCCTGCAGAGTTTGTAAAGATGTAAGGGGCTGGAACTTTGTAACTTTCTCTGTGACTTTGAGCAGCTTGTCTCCATAACTGTTGGTGTTTTTCAAGATGGTGATGTCACAGGTCTGAGGTTTGTAAATGTGAGGTTGTTCCCATAGAAGGAATGCAGATCGAATCTGTTTATATTCATACAGATCACAACAGCAGTCGTCTCAAAAGATACAATTAATTTTTACTCATTTTTGCCTTCAATCACAACAGTAGTTTTCAATAGTTCCCGGCAATTTTTGCTGCTAATCGCCAACACAGATCAGAGAATCCACACTTTAAACACAAAAAATGCAATAATAAAAAACATATAGAAGCACATACAGCCATTGGTCCATAAGGGACGGATGACCGATGTCCATAAATGCTTCAAGGTGATATATTGATTCAAAGAGGTGGTCCACCATTGGAGGGTTAAAGTATCATGTTGTTTTCCTGGGGACAGTCTTCGGTCCCAGCAGTGGAGAACGGTACATCGGGCAGCAGCTTGTGCCTGTGCCTAGACAGACTTTACTCCGGGGGAAATGAGTCTGAAGTAACAGAGAGAGCAGAGAGTGAAACTAACGGAACAGGAGCACCCTCGGGACCCACGAACACACCCAGGTAATGAGTGTGCGTGCGGCGCGCTAACTGCGAGCCAAAACTCCAGGCGCCTTCACATGGGACTCCCACATTCTACGCTGTTTTATTCATGACAGCAGATCTGGAATAAAAACAGATATGACTCGACCGCCTGAAGCAGGAGATGTTGTGGTTCTGTTGAGTGTGAGGAGAGACCTGGGTAAGCAGTTCATCTGCTGGGTGACATCAATCCCCAAAGTGTAGAGTATTCTGTAAGCTGCCTATCTATTCAGTCTGTATCTTTTTGTTCACAAAGTACACAGCATTAAAAGGAAACCTACTCTGCAAAACAGATTTTTCTCAGATCTGAGCTGTCAGGATGCACTTTAATGCTACATTGACCATAGAGGACAAAGAGTCTGAAATATAAAGTCAGAAGGATTTAATACGTGTAGCGCAAGTAAAAGATTCATTACGTAGCTTGACTAGAGAGATGGTTTTCTGTAGTAGTAGTAGTAGTAGCAGCAGTAGTCATAGTAGTAAGATTTGTATTTAAAACGTTATGCAAAATTAAACTATAAACAAGACACAAAATAAACCGTCTGAACAAAGCAGATGATTCGGCTCCAACCTCTTGATCACTAAATCAACACAACCCAATAAACACACACACACACACACACACACACACACACACACACACACACACACACACACACAGTAAGACACAGGCCCAAACACTCTCTGACCACAAATTTCTCTCCCACAACTTGCTCTGAAATTAGTGCAGTGTGTGTTTTAGAGGTGTGTGGGCGGCACGGTGGCAGAGTGGATAGCACTCTGGCCTCTCGGCAAGAAGGTCCTGGGTTCGAATCCCGGTCGGACCAGGGCCTTTCTGAGTGGAGTTTGCATGTTCTCCCTGTGTCTGCGTAGGTTTCCTCCGGGTACTCCGGTTTCCCCTACCACTAAAAATATGTCTAATAGGTCTGGCATGTGCCTCCTGTACTGGCCCCGCTCCCATCTCTGTGTGGAGTGAGAGACAAATGCCCAAAATTAACAATTGTAAACCGCTTTGAGACTCAAATCTGCAGTGAGCGACAGTAGCTCAGTTGGTAGAGCATTGGCCTTAAGCCCAGAAGGTCGTGGGTTCAATTCCCACCTCTCCACCGACTCCCACTGATGACTGCTGTCGTTGTGTCCTTGGGCAAGACACTTAACCCCACTTTGCCCAAAGCCCCCACTGAAAGATCAAGGTGATCTGATCACCTTGCTGATCACATGCTGATCGCATGTTCTGTCATTTTTGTGTCAAGCTTGGACCCTGAGTCCGTAATAAAGGCTTCATTCATTCTTTCAATGTCGAAAGGCAAAGCTCTTGATTAACCGGTCAATCTTCTTTCCCTCCCTCACCTCTGGTCATGAGCTTTGGGTAATGACCAAAAGGACAAAATCGCGGATACAAGCGGTCGAAATGAGCTTCCTCCAGAGAGTGGCTGGGCGCTCCCTTAGAGACAGGGGAGCTCAGTCACACGGGAGGAGCTCAGAGTAGAGCCGCTGCTTCTCTATATCAAGAGGAGCCAGTTGAGGTGGCTGGGGCATCTGTTTGGGATGCCTCTTGGACGCTTTCCGGGGAGACCAGGGGAAGACCCAGGACACATTGGAGGGACTATATCTCTGAGCTGGCCTGGGAACGCCTCAGGATCCCCACAGATGAGCAGGAGGAGGTGTGTGTGGAGAGGGAAACTGGTGAAGTGATGTGAAAATGGTCTCTCAGAAAGGTGTGAGTGTAGTATAGTCGGGAAAAGCACTTTAGCTTGACTTAATGATGGTTGGACTTTGTTGTTGTTGCTGTCCCTTCTATTGCTAACAGTTTCAGCAAGGACCTTTCTCATTATCTCCCACTTGGTTTAAGAATTGTTCCTCTCTGAAGCAGGAGGGTCTAAGGACAGTAGTGATGATCCAGGACACTCAACATTCAACAACATTTATGGACTTTATCAACATTTATGGACATTAGTCATCTGCCTTTTATGGACCAATTCTTCTATGTGCTTTCTATCATTGCATTTCTTGTGTTGATTCTCTGATGGTGTTGGCGAATCGATGGTTCTGTAAAGAACTCTGAGATTACTGCTGCTGTGATATAGGGCTATACAAAACCAAAATGAATTGAATTGAGCTGTCGGCTGTCCAAACAGAGTGAATAAAACTCCACACACACATACTCTACCTGTATTTTATGAGAAGACGATTAAAGGCTTTTGGGACAGATGAAAGCTGCTGCCTTCTAGATCCAGGGCTGTCTTTTATTGTTGTTCTTCAAACATCCAGCTACATATAAAAGGTCACAGACGAGATGTTAATATGTAAGAAAAACAAAGCTCTCTGGGCTTTCTCTCTAGTCTCTGTCTGATCTCTTTCTGGTCTCTGTCTCTGGTCTCTCTCTCTATCTCTGGTCTCTCTGGTTCCGTTTCAGTTTAGTTTATTTTAAAGATCTCTCTCTGGTCTCTCTCTAGTCTCTCTCTGATCTCCTTCTGGTCTCTCCTTGGTATCTCTTTGGTCTCTCTCTGGTCTCTCCCTGGTCTCTCCCTGGTCTCTCTCTCTAGTCTCTCTCTGATCTCCTTCTGGTCGCTCTTTGGTATCTCTTTGGTCTCTCTCTGGTCTCTCCCTGGTCTCTCTCTCTCTAGATTCTTTCTGTGATCTCTTTCTGGTCTTTCTCTCGGGTCTCGCTCTGTCTTTATCTGTTCTCTCTCTGGTCTCTCTCTCGTTGGTCTATTTCTACTCTCTCTCTCCCTGCTCTCTCTGGTCCCGTTGCCCCCGGTCCTTTTCCCTGCCTCTCAGTGTCCCTCTGCAGCTGCACATTATATTGTATGCACGACTTATGACAGCTGCAGCAGTACTTCTTGTTGTCTGTGTGCACTCCTCATACAGCTACACAAAAAAGGTCACAGACGAGATGTCAACCATGTAAGTATAACAAAGAGAAATACAAGTGTTTAAAAAAGTTTCTCATGTCTTAATAACATTGAGCATACAGAAATAGCCGGCGGTAAAGCCTTTGAAAGGACGTATGCATTATTCAGATCTTTTGTCGTCTTTGTTTTTGTCTTCTACATTATGCGACCTTTAACGGAAACGCATTTCTATTGAACTGTTTGTTTTGAGATCTGAGAACAAGCCCTGGCCTGATTTCTCCGTCGGCTGCTACGCTCCAGTGTCCATCGCTGCTGCTCTCTCCGGAGAGATGACTCACAACACACTTCCTAAAATAACTCCTCATCAAAGAATTGGAAATGTGACAGAGCGGTATGTTGATGGACCAATAGCAACTCATGGGTGGTCTATACTGGAGCGACTCTTCCACCAGAACTCCCAGACCCAATTTGAAGGCAGTGTTTTGGAAGTGTGGTTTCTTATCAATGTGGCTCGTTGGTTCCCCACACAACCAGTGATAATGAATGGAAATGATCAGACTCTGCTTGTATTTAATAAAGAAATATTGAATGTATATAAAGCAGTCAATTCAGGCGAAGTTTCACATCCTTTTCCTGACGTACGCTAAATCACATGACCAGAAACGGGCAACATCGAGCGCCAGTTCTAAACCAACAAAAAGTATAACAGGGATAATAGATACAGTAAGTCAGAACACTTAACCTTTATGATTGGATATCGACAACTTGAATAGTGGTTCTGGCGCCCATGAATCCAAGTAGCTTAACCCTATGCTCTGGATCCAACATGTCTGCCCATTCATTTCAAAAGTTTGTGCTCAAAGATAGCCACTAGTACCCAAGCCCCAAAAACCAACCCTGGAAGTAAGATTTTGGCCGGATCCAGGCCTAAAAACTACAACTCCCATGATGCTTAGTGCCATTGGAACAGCAGTGATGGTTTTATGCCCAAAAATGTGGATCTATAACAAAAGCGTAACAAAAATGATCACAAAGATGAGAAAAATACCTGCACAATCCAACCTTTGTGAAAGATTTCTATCAATGGGAACAATTCTTGTTATTTCTGCCGATGCAGGAGAGTCTGTAAGTGGTCTAACAAGAAGGACTGTGGTGATGATCCAGGACACTCTCTATTCTATACCATATGTATGGACATTTATCAACATTTATGGACATTGGTCAACTCTCCCTATAGACCAAGACATGTGTTCTATATTTTTTGATTCTCTGATCTGTGTTGGCAATTATAACGCTTTTGTTAAGTCCTCTGAAATAACAACTGATGTTTATTATGTCTATACAAGAATACATTAAATTGAATTATCAATCTCAGGGGAACAGTCAAACCAATCAAACTATGTCTCGCACCAATGTCAGTGGGCACAATGCAATACACACAGAACGTGCTTATTTTAATTGGCTGGTGTTGGTGTAACCTTAACACCACGGTCACACTTCCTCTGGCAGGTTCCGCTTTGTCGCCGGTGTCTTCGCCACAGACTCCTGCCGTGTCTTTGATTGGCACCATGCAGCCGTATGTGGGCAGGGCTCATCTCCCCACAGTCTGAGAGATCCCCTCCATTTTCCGTGTGTGTGTGTAAAACACCGAATCCTGGTTATTTGTTCTATCCTCTGCAATTTACCAAAACAACACAGCGGGATGTCAATACTGAGATGGGCTACAAACCAGATTGTGTGGTTAAAGCGTGGGGGCAGGAAATGCAGCACAAAATGATGCTGAATTGCTGTGTATCTACAAGTGTAAAATGGCCGAACTTTTAAAAACATGTAATGATGGACAGCAGTTGAGGTGTTGTCTGAAAAAAAGTGTTTTGAAGGACACCTAAAGATCCTCTTTATTGGGTTTAAAAGTTATTGTCAATTACTTCAAATTGTGAAGAGAGAGCAAAACTTATTGAAGACAATCGTCTCTTAGATCAGCCCACACTCACAGCACAGCCTCCTGATTGGTCGAAATGAACTTAAATCCCTGAGGCCCCTCTTCATTGGGTTAACCATTCTTCTCCAGTAAATCTTACCGTTCGTAGTTCTACCAAAGGCAGAGACTATTTAATACAAAATATGTTTTTCCTGAACATTGTGTATCAGGTACCACCTACTTTTAAAAAAGAAAATCCATTCTGTCCACATAAACTGAATATAAGCCGCATTTTCATGTAGCAGAGACGACTGCTTTACAGGATTTAATCACAATGTTTTTAACAGTCTTCACATACAGCAGGGGTGTCCAAACCTTTTAGTAAGAGGGCCACTTTGGTTCATCAGACTTGACCTGGGGCCAACAACCTGGATTTAAAAAAAACTGGATTCAAGCTGGATTATGATACATCCTTATTGATTCACACCACAGCCACATTTTATGTGATTGTTGTGACACAATCATACAACAAATGTCAGTATATAACAAAAGAGTTAACGACTGAGCTGCAGAGGGTCTGAGATTTACAACAAGGAATAGCATAACTCTATTGGTGGAGCTGAAGTTGGTTGGAAACTGTCAAAGTGCCTCAAAGGCGACTTTGTACTAGCAGTAGAGGACCACATAAAATGGTACAGAGGGCCGCAATTGGCCCACAGGCCTGAGTTTGGACATGCCTGACGTACAGTACTCATTCAGGTTAGCCTCCACGACTCATTCACCTTCATCTGTTTGATGGGTGCAATCTGAAAGCTCTTATTTCCTTCTTCTTTCTCTGCTGTAATGTGCGCAACGATGACACTGAAATATCCCCACTGTGGGACGAACAAAAGAATACTTATCTTATCTATTTTTGTTAATTCAGTTTGTCAGATGTTTTCTGTCCTTCAGGTTGACAGTGTCCCACCGGCAAGCTGCCAGAGTGGTGCAAACGATGCGCTATTTTGTGGCCAAGAGAAACTTTCAAGTGAGAATTGTTTTCATTTATTCATATTAAGTATGTAGTGTTTAATTACATAGCACATTTTACAGACCAAGGTGTCCCAAAGCACTATAAAAGTTCAGAGTTCAGATATGGTTCAATATAGTTCGGTGTCATCACCATGCCGAACCAACCCCCCAACCAACACCATCCTTCACTCATGACACTCAGACCTATTGTACATGTTTTTAGTGGTAGGGGAAACTGGAGCACCCTGAGGAAACCTTCACAGACACAAGGAGAACATGCAAACTTCAAACAGAGAGGTGTTCAAACAGAGAGATGCTACAGTCTCTATTAAAAATTGTATGGTTATGGAATTCCAATAAAGTATTGACATCAAACTACTCGAATTAGTGAACATAAAAACACACACAGGTCCAGGGCAGAAATCAAAGGAAAAAACAAGAGACTTTCTGTAGTTTAAATAGAGACATTTCTGATCAATTGTCTTTTCCCATGATACCAGCAAGCCCGTAAGCCTTATGACGTGCGTGATGTGATCGAGCAGTACTCCCAGGGGCACCTCAACCTCATGGTGCGAATCAAAGAGCTGCAGCGACGGTAGGTTCCATCGAGCCCCATCCAGCCCCCATCCAGCCCCCATCCAGCCCCATCCTGCCCCATCCAGCCCCATCCAGCCCCCATCCAACCCCCATCCAGCCCCATCCTGCCCCATCCAGCCCCCATCCAGCCCCATCCTGCCCCATCCAGTCCCATCCAGCCCCCATCCAGCCCCCATCCAGTCCCATCCTGCCCCATCCTGCCCCATCCAGCCCCCATCCAGCCCCCATCCAGCCCCCATCCAGCCCCCATCCAGTCCCATCCTGCCCCATCCAGTCCCATCCAGACCCATCCAGTCCCATCCAGTCCCATCCAGTCCCATCCATCCATCCATCCAGCCCCCATCCAGCCCCCATCCAGCCCCATCCTGCCCCATCCAGCCCCATCCTGCCCCATCCAGCCCCCATCCAACCCCCCTCCAGCCCCATCCTGCCCCATCCAGCCCCCATCCAGTCCCATCCTGCCCCATCCAGTCCCATCCAGTCCCATCCAGACCCATCCAGCCCCCATCCAGCCCCCATCCAGTCCCATCCTGCCCCATTCAGTCCCATCCAGCCCCCATCCAGCCCCATCCTGCCCCATCCAGCCCCCATCCAGCCCCCATCCAGCCCCCATCCAGTCCCATCCTGCCCCATCCAGCCCCCATCCAGCCCCATCCTGCCCCATCCAGTCCCATCCAGCCCCCATCCAGCCCCCATCCAGTCCCATCCTGCCCCATCCAGTTCCATCCAGTCCCATCCAGACCCATCCAGTCCCATCCAGTCCCATCCAGTCCCATCCATCCATCCATCCAGCCCCCATCCAGCCCCCATCCAGCCCCATCCTGCCCCATCCAGTCCCATCCAGCCCCCATCCAGTCCCATCACGCCTGCATGTGCTGCTGATGGTAATGATGATAGTAACGATGTGACCATGTGTCTGCAGCCTGGACCAGTCTCTGGGCAAGAGCGCACTGTTCCAAAGTAGCTCAGGTAAATATGACACTAAATGAAAGCTACAGAACCTGAACTTTGATTTGTTTCTTAAATGCATTGTGCTTGTCCCCACTGAAAAAGTCCTTTAGGTAAAATATTATGAACAGGTCTGACTACACATTGCTTGCTGATTGGCTGAGTGAGGGTCGTACTCTCTCTTTCCACTGATGAAGCGGAAGAAAATACACGCATGTGAAAACTAGAGATAGAACTGAAACGTTTTCTGGCCACTGCAAAAAATAATAATAATATAAGCTAAAAAAATGCTTGAATTGAGTGTTATTTATCTTAATTTGGGTACATTCTGACTGTGTTAAATCAAGCCATTTGTCTTATTTAAAGCTTTTTTTCTCATTCGAAGGCTGACATTTCTTGTAACTTTTTAAAACAATAAAAGGCAGTCAGAGTGTGCTCAAATTAAGACACATTTGACACTAAAATGTTGAGGGTGACACAAACAAGGACAAACATGGCAGTTTACTTTGCAATACAGTATACAGTCTGTGATGTCACCCACACTCCAAACATGAATCATAATCAGCTCCAACTAGAACCAAGTGAAGCAGAGGTCACCAGAGTTTGAACCCTGAAACTACAGTAGAAAATGTGTTTTATTCATGTAGATTTGAATCTTGTGTTTCACTTGCAGAGCGGTTTAAGGACAAATCCAGTAACTCCATTGGATCCAGGCTGCACCGCATGGAGGACAAGGTGAGTTCTGTCTCTCTATGTAATCAATCCTTGAACAACGTAGAATCAAATCAGTGAACAAAAGTAAATCATTTTGAATAAGTTCTAGTTACCATAGCAACACACTGTTTACCTACAGCAGCCAGTATTTAGTTTAGTGGAAAACAAAAACTATTTTATCCTCATTACGCTAAAGCTAGAGTTTTATTTTATTTGTTCATAGTATTTACTTTTTATTATCGTCAACTTATATTGTGCTGTGTGCCCCCCATTCCTACTGTAACTGGCGATGCAACACTGACATTTCCCGACTGTGGGACAAATAAACAATCTCTTCTTCTTAATCTTAATTTAGACTGACGTTAGTGTCTCTGCTGCAGATGTCTCAGATGGAGCAGAGCCTGGGTCAGATCTGTGACAACCTGCGTGTGCTGCTGGACCAGAGGGAGGGCCCAGGGACCACGGCGGGGCCCCTACACCCTCCCTCTCTGCCCAGTCAGGACAGCCTGCCCTCCTACGAGCAGCTCTCCGTCCCCTCGGCTCCCTCCTGTGGTGATGTGGACTTTCTGAAGTGAATGTAGAGTGTGCTGTGTTTCAATTTGACCCTTTTAGGCCTAAATCTTTAACATTTATTTTTAAAGGGACAGTGTTCAATAAACATGAGCCAATAGGAGAGATCCAGGTTGTATAGAGGTGTAGAGAGAGAGAGAGAGAGAGAGAGACCAGAGAGAGACCAGAGAGAGACCAGAGCGAGACCAGCAAGACAGACCAGAGAGGGAGACTGAGATAGAAACCAGAGAGAGAGACTAGAGAGACCAGAGAGAGACCAGGGGGAGAGACCAGAGCGAGACCAGGAAGACAGACCAGAGAGGGAGACTGAGATAGAAACCAGAGAGAGAGAGACCAGGGGGAGAGACCAGGAAGACAGACCAGAGGGAGACCGAGATAGAAACCAGGGAGAGAGACTAGAGAGTACAGAGAGAGAGACCATAACGAGACCAGCAAGACAGATCAGAGAGCTAGAGAGACCAGTGAAAGAGAGACCAGAGAGACAGAAAGTTCCTCATGGTCAGAAATATTCATTCTTTTAAAAAGTTGCTGACATCCCCTTTAAGGCCCTCAGGTTTGTGATAGTCGCTCTACAGGAGATTTTTGTAGTGTTTGAAAATTCAACCAAGAAACCTTTGATTTTTGTGTGAGATTTACTGGACATTTGAGGGTTTTGAAACATGGAACGTGGTGTCAGTGCAGTAGCATGTATTACATAACTTTATTTTCTTTATTCCTGAAAGGTAAAACTGCTTTTAATGGACTTGAAGGGTTAATATACTGCACTATATTCAACAAGAAAACAAATCCTAGCCACTAAATCTAAATACTAACTCATAATCAAATGATACTGGAAATCAATCATATTACTGCTTATGTTTTTTTCTTGTGTAACAATAATAAATATGTTATTTTACATTCTGTATTCATAATTTTTACCTATAGCTGCACAGCTGTCTATTCTTTCTTTGGTCTCTCTCTGGTCTCTCTCTAGTCTCTCTCTAGTCTCTCTCTGGTTTCTCTCTAGTCTCTCTCTAGTCTCTCTCTGGTTTCTCTCTAGTCTCTCTCTTGTCTCTCTCTGGTCTCTCTCTGGTCTCTCTCTGGTCTCTCTCTGGTCTCTCTCTAGTCTCTCTCTAGTCTCTCTCTGGTCCCTCTCTGGTCTCTCTCTGGTCTCTCTCACTTCAGCAGTCGTGAGTTTAGGTGATTAGAAAAGTGTATGAAGCGAGTGGTGAGTTTTATGGTGCCGTTTTCACCCTGCGACAAACGAGTAGCCACTTTAATGAAAAACATATTAGTGCAGAGATTATTTAATAAAAGTGTATTCTTTTATTCACAGAGACTTTGTTGGAGCAATCCACAGCCGAAGCAGTTACATATAAAAATGTTGCTGACCAAATAAACAAGTACTCAAGCGTTGTCTCGCCAGTTCAATCAATAAAAACCCATGAATAAATATAATATTGTGCTCCGTTCCTTTGGTTCCTCTGCAGTGAGTTTGCACCTGTTCCAATCACCACTGATGATGAATGCGGAAAAATAAATGGGAAAAACAACATTTCAACAGTACAATGGAATTTCATAATGTGATATTATGCAAATGCCTTTGAAAGTATTGTATCTCCAGCTCCGAGTATCAACATCTGATGTTTCCCAAGCGTTGTACTACAGCAACCACTGAAAGATTCCCTTGTGGGGTCAGGATGGGTCAAATGCCGAGGACAAAGTTATCTACAGGGATAAATAAAATAAATAAAGTTCTAATAAAGTTAGCAGGTCCTGGGACTGCACAAGGATCCGATTCAAAAATCAGCATATAGACTCATCATCAGTGCTAAACCCTCCTCTGCATCATAACAGAACTTTATTTTTTGAAGAGAAAGGTTTCATGAATGATTTCACATTCAGCAGACATTACATTATTGATGAAATTGTGGCAATTAGTGTTTACTAATCACAATGTACAGTGTGTATGTATATTGTGTAGTTGCTCTTAATAGATGTGTAATCCATTAATACCAGCCGCTCCTTAATAAAACCTCAAGCAGATTTCTGTGCCGTGTGCAGAATAGAACGAATTAGAGTTTTTGTGGATTTACAATTACAGCCACTTAAAATGTACTGAATATATTTGTCGTGCATGTCTCAGAACACACATAATGAAACACATAAACACTGAGCTTTGATCAAACTTCTTCTTCTTCTTGGAGAGAAGTGTGAACAAAAGGTCTGGAAGCAAAGTAATGTAATGTCCACTGTTTGAAGTGTGGCACCCATAATAGGAATTAACATTTTCAAAACAAAAGACACTAATGAGGTCAGGATGCAGGGGCAGCGGAAAGAGAGAGAGAGAGAGAGACCAAAGAGACCAGAGCGAGAGACCAGAGAGAGACCAGAGAGAGAGACCAGAGGGAGAGACCAGAGAGAGAGACCAAAGAGACCAGAGCGAGAGACCAGAGAGACCAGATAGAGAGGCCAGAGAGAGAGACCAGAGGGAGAGACCAGAGAGAGACCAGAGAGAGAGACCAGAGAGAGAGACCAGAGGGAGAGACCAGAGAGAGACCAGATAGACCAGAGAGAGGAACCAGATAGAGAGCGAGATCAGAGATAGAGAGGTTTATATTCTCTTATTTAATTTAAGGAGGTGATGATGCAGTGACAGGGTAAATGGCCAACTCTGTCTAAAAGTAAGAAAGAGTGAAAGAGAGACCAGAGAGGGAGCAAGACCAGAGAGAGAGAGACCAACAGAACACCATGGTGTGGTGGTCATCATGGAGACTCATGGAATCTCAAGAGTCAGGGCAGCTTCCCAAACTAACCACACAATGGCGCCATCTGTTGGCAGTTTGACAGAAACTGTATTCTCTGTCACATGCTCAGGACGGGTACATGTCACTTTAACTACAGCCAGATTCAGATCGAAGCAGAGTTTAAAAACAATGTTAAAGAAGTCTCAGGTGTTTCTGCTTCATGAGCTCGACTCGCCTCACTGTCAAGGTAAACAAGAGACGTTTAGTTACAAATCATCAGAAGAGGAAGTCGTTAGAATGAGTGGAGGATTGGAACTATCTGCAGCGATCACTTCTAGGTAAATTTAGATAAAACATTCTTGTTATCATATAAATAAAGATGACCTACTTACTAATTAGCCATCTATATGTAAACGTTAGGATACTCATTTTATTGTTAATTACCTGTATTTAACATGAGATCGGATGTCATTTTCTAGTGGTTTTGGATTCAACTACAACTGAGCTAAAGTAGAGACGTATTGGAAGACGGATAGTTAAACAGAAAAAATTGAGTAATAGAATATAACTTACACTTACATTTCTGTTCACATTTTGGAACAAATTTCAATGATATTGTTGTTTTCCCGGAGATGATGGCTTTAAAATGAAGTATAACATGCCATAGTTGTGCACAGTGTCACAGTGAGATTGTAGCCATTCAAAAAGCAGAGTAATATCCTATTGCTGCATTTGTTCCTTAACAAACACTTCAAACATTATTCCAAAGTCCTCAAAACACATGTACAGCTCTGGTTCATTAGCGCAGATTGTTCTCCACATTTTGACTTTGTCTTGATACGCACCCGTCAGAAATCACTTTGCTCCAGCTGTAACTGTTGCTAATCAAAACAAGCCATAGTGCTTTGGTCTCTAACGTCTGAAAAACATTAGTGTAATCATTGGTCTATTTTTGAACATTTGGAGTATTTGAAATATAAATATGGATGGTCCGGGCATTTAAAGATATTTCTAGACAATGGCACTTATGTGTTTGTTGTTATTATTACAAGATACAAGACTTGATTTTCCATTTGCAGTAAAACCACATTGGAAAAACTATACAAGATTGCACTTCTGTTTGATTCTCTGATCTGTTTTTGGTGAATCAACAACTTCAAAGTCCTCCGAGACTGCTGCTGTGATTTAGGGCGATACAAAAATGAATTGAATTGTAGTGAAAAAATTTTACCAAAGTTAAGAACAAACAAACTCAAATAATTCCTGGGGCCGTGGGCGTGTGGTTTACACGGTGAAGAATAATAAACTAATAAACAGTAAAACTTTATTTTTAGACTGGACAAGTGTCAAAAAACAAAGACCAGAATCAGGACCCTCCCTAGAAAGGTAACAACCATTACTACATATAGCAAAAAGATGGTTTTATATAAACTATACATTTACAGTTCAGTAAAAAATATACATACAGGGCAGGATATATGTTATATACATACAGGCCAAGATATATGTTATATACATAAAGGGCAGGATATATGTTATATACATAAAGGGCAGGATATATGTTATATACATAAAGGGCAGGATATATGTTATATACATACAAGGCAGGATATATGTTATATACATAAAGGGCAGGATATATGTTATATACATACAGGGCAGGATATATGTTATATACATACAGGGCAGGATATATGTTATATACATACAGGGCAGGATATATGTTATATACATACAAGGCAGGATATATATTATATACATACAGGCCAGGATATATGTTATATACATACAGGGCAGGATAATTAGATAAAGTGACATTCAGTGAACATTCTGAGATTGTAGTATTGCACATTGCACATGATTGCAATATTTACTATTTACAGATGAATGACATGCACAGACTCGGCAGTTCTCATTGTACAGTCTGACAGCAGCAGGAAGGAAAGACCTCTCCTTAACAGAGAGAGTGAAGAAGTCTGTCACTATCATTATATATATAAGCAATTTCTGGAAAGTCAGTTCCATTGACAACAGCCATTCTTATAAGCAAGAACTTACTTAAGACTCAGGATCAGGTTCTGAAGGTGTTCTCACAAGATTTTATTTTCCCTGAAATCTGAGTCATGTGAGATTTAAAACACAGCTGTTGTAGGGAAGCACCGACGCGAGCCGATACTAATGATGACAGCTTTCGTTTGATGAAATACTGTATTTTAGCTAATCGTACACACAACACAAGCATACAATCTTTGTATTTCCATTCCAAACAGAAACATCACACTCGGACATATTTCCAAGAATATGTCCGCTAACCCCCGCCCCATAGAATGACTTGGCTGGACCCCCGCTGTTTTCACCAGGACAGACTAAAGCCTGGCCACACTTCAGCTGGACCAGAGGCCATTGTGTCGGGGCAGATGGTCAGTGCGGCTGTAAAGGAATAGCCAGGACCCCTCGACCAACCCCCCATGACCATATAAGGCAGGGGGGAGTGGGTGAGGGAGGAGGGTTACCAGCTGCTGCTAAGGTCGACAGTCTCACTAAAGGAGTCAAAGGACGTGTCCACAAAGCTCCACTCTGGGACGATGGATTGACAATGGAGGAAAACATATGGGTTTTTGTGATGGTTCTAAAGAGAGCATAAAAAAAAGAAACAAAACATCTCATATTGCTCATCTTTGACATTTGTTTACTTCTTCTCCTCAAAATAAAATGCATGCCTTTTTTAGTAGCAAGTAGTAATCTTTACTTATATACCGCTTTTCACAGACCAGAGTCACAAAGCAGTTTACAATTGTGAGCATTTGTCTCTCACTCCACACAGAGATGGGAGCGGGGTCGCCAGTACAGGAGGCGCATGGCGCATGGCAGAGCTATTTTTAGTGGTAGGGGAAACCGGAGTACCCGGAGGAAACCTACACAGACATGGGGAGAACAGGCAAACTCCACTCAGAAAGGCCCTGTTCTGATCGGGATTCGAACCCAGGACCTCCTTGCTGAGAAGTGAGAGTGCTATCCACTCAGTCACTGTGCCGCCCAGTTTCAGTTTTTTTTTGTTTTGTTTTAATGAGTTAAACAATTAAAAACACTCACACATCAGCTCTCATCTCTACTTTACTCTTTATTACCGCTACTGCTATTACTACTACACCTGCTACTACTGCTCTGCTGCTTTCCTACTGCGGCTACAACTACTGGTTCTACTACTACTGCTATTTCTACTCCTGGTACAGCTGCTAAGTACTGCTCTACTACGAGCCTACACATCCAGAAAATAAACTCAAATTGAAATAAGAAAATCTATCCAAATCCAAATATCTTTTCTGAACACTTCTATTGTGAGCTAGAAGTGTGAGTTTTCTCCAGTGTGAATGGTGCGGCACAAGCCAGGCTGATGAGCCTATTGTGGGGGGTCTGGGGTCCAGGCGGGGGTCAGAGGTCACAGGAGGGGGGACATACCGGCACACTCTGTCTTTGTGTGTGGGTGTGTATTGTCCTCGTGAGCAGATGGTCAGAGGGATTCCACAGCAGGGGGAAGAAGTAACAAAAAGCCACAAAAAGTGACGAAAAGTGACAAAAAGTGACAAAAAGTGGTCAAAATTGGACGATGAGGTTTTTTTCTATTCACTAAAGAATGGAATAGGAGTTTTGTTTTAATGTTTAGATACTTAAAACGTTAAATCGAGAAATGGTTAAATTGTTACATTGTTGTGGATTTTTCAGCCGCCATCTTGTTTTGTGAAGCACTTTGAGTTACTTTGTTTAAGAACTGTGCTATACAATTAAACTTGCCTTTCCTTGCGTCTTTCATTCGTAAAAGAATACATGTAGTTTCAATGTTATGTTTTTGCTGCACAATTCGTTTCTCAGCAAGAAGGATTTGAATCCCGGTCGGAACAGGGCCTTTGTGAGCAGAGTTTGCATGTTCTCCCCGTGTCTGCGTAGGCTCAACACCTGGAGATGATAGAGGCCCTGTAGACGCCCTGTAAAGTGATTAACCATGTGAATTAACGCTAATTTATGGGAATAAACAGGAACTTAATCAAAATGTTCCAGTTTGAAGGTTGGCTCTTCATTGGGAACGTAAATATAGTTGAGGATGTATAGTATATTTTTGCATATTAAGTTAGCTTTGATGATATTAAGTTAATATCTTTTGAAAACATTTTACATGGATGTTTTCTAATGATAATAACTTTCAGACGTTCATATTTATGCTTGGATATGATACAATTGATTACATTGCAATTAATTCCCAAAATTCCCCAGCTTAACTTCCCATAGAAATGCAGCAGAAACTTTTCAGACATATACCAAAAATGTTCCACCCTTTTGTAACCCTACTTCCAGGTCTTATTTAGATAGTGTCATTTAGATTAACCACACAGAGACAGGATATTTGCGCACCAGAGCTCCATCCATCCATCCATTTTCTTCCCCTTAATACATTTCTGGGTCGGGGGGGTGGCAGTCAGAGCTGCACCCAGTCACAGAGCACCAGCCTCTCACTGATCCTCCTGCAGGTGGTGAGTCCACAGAAGCTGAGATCTTTCAGTGGGGGCTTCAGGCAAAGTGGGTTAAGTGTCTTGCCCAAGGACACAACGACAGCAGTCATCAGTGGGGGTCGTGAAGTAGGTCTTGAGGTGGGCTCGAACCCACGACCTTCAGGCTTAAAGGCCAATGCTCTACCAACTGAGCTACTGTCGCCCCTGAGCTCCTGGAAGTTTATTCAATTTCCTCCAGGTTTCAGTTGTTTCCGTTTTTTCAGGTTTTTTCAGACAGAACATAATCAGGATATGGTTTATATAGTCAACGTTTACGTCACACATATGTCACACACGGAAAAACAAAAGTGTTACATCCAGAGACAATCAGAAAATTACAAGACATTGAGAGAACATAACGGTCACACACAATCATAGCAGATACACAATCCGGTCGTTGTGACCTACGCAAGGCCAGATCACTTGTATAGCTATCTAATTCCCATACTAGATATTGGATAGATAGATACTTCACTGATCCCTGAAGGAGAAATTCAAGTGTCCAGTGGCAGCAAAAACACATCCATCCATACAAAAAAAAAAAATACATTGATAATTCTGTAATAACGGGGCCTGAGGCACTTGAACCAGCACCAGGCGCCTTATCTTTCTGTGACTCTGCTGCAGCACTTTGATGGCGGCGCCGTGACCCTGTATGGATTTCTCGCAGCATTATTATCACTTTACTCATCCGCAGCCGCGATCTCAGAAGAAACAATCAACCACACTCCTGAAAATGTGGAAATGAACGGCCCTGATGATTGTGATGCTGTTTCAGAACCACGCACTGATAAAACAGCATTTGTCCTGAGGAAACGTATTTGTTTCTCTGTTTCCACCTAAATGCTGTTCGTTCAGCCGTTCAGGATTACCTCTGTGCGGATATACTTTCTCATAAATAATACATATTGTGAGAACCAAAGTAAATGCTGAAAAGTGTTTAAGTTTAAGAAAAAAATATGGGGACAAGGTGAGTTTTTTTTTAAGCTAAGTTCATACCCAAGGCGTCTCAAAGTACCGGAGCACCTGAAGGAAACCTATGCAGACACGGGGAGAACATGCAATCTCCACACTGAAAGGCCTGAAGGTGGAATCGAACCCAGAAGCGTAAAATATCACTTATGAAGCTGACCACATGTTTGAAAAATGACCAGTCGAAGTCCAAGAAGTAAAATCTGTTGATATTTATTTACATTTTTTATAAACCTGAAAATGGATTTATTATTCCACAAGAATTACATCAATGCTCTCAAGCTTCGAATTCTCTTCAAACACTTAATATGAAAATCATGACAGAAAATGCAAGAAAAATAATTAACTATAATGGCAAAAAATAAACTTAAAATACCAGACAAGTATTAAATAATATAACAAATAAAATAATGATAAAAAAATAATAATAAAAAAAACTTAAATAAAATAAATACAACAAACAAACAAAAAACACAAATTAATTAAAAGTCAATATGTAGAGGTTTGTTGGTGTGAAAAAGTACATTCAAAAATAGTATTCAGTTTTATAAAGAGCTTTTTGGACACTCAAAGACGCTTCACATCCTTATTCATTCACTCCATACACGGTGGTGATAAAATACTGTGGCCACAGCTGCCCTTGGGGCACTCTGACAGAAGAGAGGCAACCAGTCTGTGCCACCTGCCCCTCCCACCACCAATCATTCACACACACACACACACACACACACACACACACACACACACACACATTCTAATGTGGGGGAAGTGTCTTGCCTGAGGACACAACCACAGTTTGGCACTTTAGAGATAGAGTTCATATAATTGTATTGCTGGTCCCATGGTTCTATCTGATGGTCCGGAGTGGTGCCTCTGTGCTCTGGGACAGGAACGGGCCCAGGACGCTCTTGGTCTCTGTGCTCCGTCTGCGTTTGGCAAAGAAATCTGCAAAGAAAAAAACAAAATATGTGGTTAATGTTGTTCCACCGGACCTTTAATCGATCAAAAAATAAGTAATTAGAACTTCAGTGCCTTGATTAATGTTATTTTTTTTTTACTATTTTAAAACTATATGAAACTTTTGCACAATGAGTGGCATTGTATTTCAGGGGTTGATTCATTGTTGAACCATATTCGAATATAAAATAGGTGTAAAAATAAGAATGGATTGCTCAATTTATCAAAGGTATGTAACCTGTAAAATACTCGATTACTTAAAACAAAAAATAACAATCCTACATCCATTTGTGTTCCAAGAAATGGAAATGGAAAAATACAAATAAAATCCACATCTTTCAATCATTCTTTCAGGCAAAACAATACTTTTTTTCTGCTTTATCAGGTCTTTTTCTCACGGCTATTTTGCAAATGAATACTACACTGCAAAACGCAATGAAAAATAGAGATTTACCAAAGGGACAAGCAGCATTATCTCGTTTTAAAAAGAAACAAGAAATGTCTTAGTTGGAATGAGGAAAATATAGACTTTTTTCCATTGGCGAATCTGGTTTTAAAACAGTTAGAAAGTGCTCAGATTAAGATGAAAAACCACTCGATTCAAGCAATTATTCTCTCATATGTAATAATTTTTTGCAGTGTAATATTATCCCTAAGGAAGCCACAAGACGAGTTATCTATGTTTTGATCAGGGGTCAGTAACCGTATGGCTTGGAAGACAAATCCTAGTCAGCAATAGTAGTAAGAATGGTTTTCGGGATGTGATTTCTTCAGTATTGGAATGTTAATAAACAGTAATTTTTTGGCTCTCTCTGTTTTTCATCTATTCCGCTGACACAGAGATAGCTAAAGATCCCTGTGACCGTTCGTACCTGTGATACGTGCATTCTGCTGTTCCTTGCGCGTAGACCTGGAGCGCGGCCTCTTCCTTCTCGGCGACGTCACATCTGCCAGACACGTGTTGAAGACCCGCGGGCAATTCTCCTGATCTCCATTCGGGATGTCCCCCTCTCTGGGCCTCAGTCCGTCCTCCTCGTCCACCTCCTCCACCTCCACCTCCACCTCCACCACCTCCTCCACTTCCTCTCCTGCTGCAGGTCTGCTCTGGTTCTTTGTAGACTCCCTTCGATCCAGACCATAGAACTCTGCCGCGCACTCCGAAGACACCGGCTCCCATTGGAACCGCCCGGACAGAGGCGCGTGGTTGTAGAAATCAAAATTCCATCGCCGGCTGTCCTGCTCGGTGATGTCCCGCAATCGCCGGCTCAGATCTTTCCGCAGCTGTTCGTGATCTACAGGCCCGAATAGAGTCCTTCGAACCGAGCTTGTTTCAATCTGCACCTCCATGATTTGCTTTAAATACGATCTGGTCTTGATAGGAGGCAGAGACCGTGGTCCACCGATCAGCAGAGATACAAGCCTGTGTGTGTGTGTGTGACTGGGACGTCCTTTACCAAGAGACTTTATAGGGGGCAGAGGTGCATGCTCCCCCGCTTTTTGCGCTGGAAGCTGATTGGATGTTGACTTTTCATGCTGGATCGACCAGAAGGCGGGGGATTGGGCTTTGTCTCCTCAATACAGGTCTGGATGAGGGTGGATCTCCTTTGTTGTGTTGTGGGTTTGTGTTTACTCATCTGGAGTAAGTTATTTCATTGCAAAAGAACTTGGGATTTTTTATGAGACTTCTATCTTGGATTGATCCTGGACCAAACAGGGATTACACCAACTAGCACAGTCGGAACAAAACATGGGGGAGGCAGCGTTTCAGATATCTGGAACAGTCTTCATGAAAGTTGGGAAACAGGCTTCACTGACAATGTTCAAATCCAGGTTAAAAACTGTTATTATAGCTGTGTGTACAACTGAAGGATTGTATCTCTATTCTTTTTAAAGTACTGTGATTATTTTGGATTTATTTTAATGCCTTGTGTGATTGTCCATCCATCCATCCATCCATTTTCTTCCGCTTTATCCGTTGCCGGGTCGCGGGGCCTTGTGTGATTGTTTCTATCTTATTGTGTTCAGCACTTTGAGCTGCCTTGAAGTTGTGTGAATGAACTGTGCTCTGTTCCCTGGCCTAATACAGTTTTTCTCTATTGCTACAACACAAAACCCAGTACTCTAAACCAAATGACCAATTGCCTAACCACATTTATTAAAACTTCCCCCCACTTCTCACAACCATAAACACACGTCTCCTTTAGACACTATTCACAAAACACATGTCCTTTTTCTCAAAACTCTAAACACATTTTTCTTTTGCTAAAACACATTTTTCCTTTGCTAAAACACTTTTTGCATGTATCTCTGTTCCTATAATCATTGTGAGGCTCATGTGATGAAAAATGTCTCCCACTGTCAGCAAAACTTGAACACAATGAACATACCTGGTGTCATTCAGAAAACACAACCACTCAGAACTGAAAACACCTGTTGCAAATGATGTGACCACAACTTTATAAGTCAGTGCAGGTTCCAAACAAAAATGGATGATCAAGGCTCAAGAAGAGGAGTTTGTGTCAGTGGAGGGAGAGGAGGAGGTCAAAGAGGGAGAGGAGCAGGCCACGGAGGGAGAGGAGCAGGTCAAAGAGGGTGAGGAGCAGGCCAAGGAGGGAGAGGAGCAACATGCATTATGAATGCAAGGGAAATGTAGGTACCCCAGTTTTAATTGCTGAGTTGTAGTTTCAGGGCTACAGGAGACACAGGGACACTTCCAGAGGCTCACATAGTTCAGCTGCATTTCTCACAGCGCTGTATTTATCGCGTCCACAGGTTGTCCAAAGATCTGCACTTGTCCTGTCAGCGCCGGTCACATGGGAATGAGTCCGCTGTGACACCAGAGCATGTGGAGGGGGGGCCCCCCACTATTTGAGAAGCACTGCCCTAAACATTGTGTTTTAAATTGTTACTGTACTGTAGTATCTATTGTGTGTCATGGATCCTCCATGGAGTTACTCATGTTTGCATTGAGTTGTGATATAACTGCATTTTCTACTTTATGTACTGTAACTATTCTCATGAAACGCACAAATCTATAGAAAAGGCCCAAAACATTTGAGAATTAAAAAAGTGTTGCTCAAATGCATCCTGGCAGTTGTGAAACTGTAAAAAGAACAGTCTCCCATTCTGAAAATTGTGTTTCCAATTGTTACTGTACTGCAGTATCTATTGTGTCATGGATCCTATAGAATTTACAGTACCCATGTTTGCATTGAGTTTTGATATAACTGCATTTTCTGCGTTATGTAACTATTCTCATGAAACGCGCAAATCTATAGTAAATGCCCAAAACATATTAGAGAATTAAAAAAGTGTTGCTCAAATGCATCCTGGCAGTTGTGAAACTGTAAAAAGAACAGTCTCACATTCTGAAAATTGTGTTTTAAATTGTTTTGGTGATGTGGTTAATGATGCTCATAGTGTTCACATTTTTGCAAACCATGAGAGGTGTTTTGTTGTGATGGGTTGGTTTTGAGAATATGAGAAACTGTTTTGTTGTGATGGGTTGGTTTTGAGAATATGAGAAACTGTTTTGTTGTGATGGGTTGGTTTTGAGAATATGAGAAACTGTTTTGGTGTGATGGGTTGGTTTTGAAAAGAGACTGTGTTGTTGTGTGTACGTAGCTTCAGAAAAGAGGTTTGTGTTTAGAGTTTTGAGAAAAGGGAGGGCAGAATCGTGAAATGTGTTTAAGCAATAGAGACAAACTGTAATAATAAATATTTTTCCCCTAATATGGCACAAAGCTCTGGTTGCATTTGCTTTCTGCTCTCTCTTCCATGCAACATTTTACTCAAATTACCAATCACTATGTTAATGGTTTTAGTTTTGCATTGGTCCAATCGACCAGTCAAGATAGACCTGACCAATATAGAGACTGTGGCTCTTGACAAGGGCCCTAGTGGCAATGGAAAGATGGGTCAAATGCATCCATCCATCCATCCATTTTCTACCCTTTAATCCATTTCTGGGTCAGGGGGGTGGCAGTCAGAGATGCCACCCAAGTCTCATAGCACCAGCCCCTCACTGACCCTCTGCAGGTGGTGAGTCCACAGGAGGACGGCTGCTCTCTGAGTGTGAGCATAGCCTTGATCTTTCAGTGGGGGCTTTGGGCAAAGTGGGGTTAAGTGTCTTGCCCAAGGACACAACGACAGCAGTCATCAGTGGGAGTCGGTGGAGAAGGTGTAGAGGTGGGAATTGAACCCACAACCTTCAGGCCTTAAGGCCAATGCTCTACCAACTGAGCTACTGTCGCCCCTGGGGGCGTTCAAATGCAGAGGAAACAAAATCCAACAAAGACAATAAACAATGTTTCTGAGGTCAGGACTACTCAAATTGAAGGACTTGGTTTCTTTACAAACTTTATTAGTTATTTATAAAGCAAAACACTGCCTGTTACCGCATGGACTTCAAACCCTTTTTACTGTAAATAGTGAGACAAGTAGAAGAAATACTGACTTTAAACAACCTTTTGCAGGAAATGCCCTTAAACAAATGTGTGTCTCAGTATCTGGTGTGAAACAATGGAACTCTGTAGAAAAAGATCTAAAATGTTGTTCAAATATTCTTCAATTTAAATATAAGTATAAACAGAACATTCTTAACTTGTACAAAGATGAATGTGAAAATCGTTAAATTTACAACAACAGTGCTGATAACGATGGTGGTGATGTAGTGGTGTGGCGGTGGTGATGGGGGCGATGGCGGGACTGTCTGGTTGTGTGGCGCGTACCTATGTGTTCGTGTGGGTGTGTCTGTATGGGTGTATACAGGTATGCTTACAGTACGCAAAAAAACAAAACAAAAAAAACAAAAGAGGAACAAATTTTCAGTGCAGGGCAGTGGCGGCTGGTGGAATTTTCTACTGGGGGGGCTATGAATATGATGACTAGATATATACCAGCAGGGTAGGGATGCTTTCTGATCCCTACCCTGTAGCTTTCATCCAGCTGGGATGAAATATTTATCTTCCCAAACATAGCTAATTTGAGGGCATTTTGCATGTGGATACCAGTCTGCTCATGCTTCTTTGCCTTTTCTAAAAAGTGCTTCAGATCAGTCATACCTGTCTTGATCCATGCTGGGTCAGATCCTGATGTTTGAAACAAGAGGCATGGAAAGCAAAATAAAGCTTTAGCCTCGCTACATGCTGCTAGCCAAGATTTGGCGCTGAACCAGGTCCTGGACTGCTGACTAATGGTAATATTTGGCTGATCAGGTCCAAGCTCTTTAACCTCAACCTTCTCCTGGTATGATCTTCTCTCAAACGGTATTGTTTTGAGTGATCTAACTGAATTATTCTTGTTCTCGTTTCCATTTTGCGTCTCTTTACGTTCGTCTCAAACTCCCACAGCTTGACCTGTCAATCACTGTAAACGGACGTCACAGTGACAGTACAGGTCGCGGGCGATCCCGCCCCCTCAGGGCGCACTTCTCCTGCGCCCCCAAATCGTCTTATCTCTTGCATTGAAGAGGAGCTACTGCGCATGTACAACTTTTAACGAGAGTCCATAGACGGCTCAGGGCCATGGATGTATTATATTAACTGGATAGGGTATTACTAGCTTGTAGCTGAATAACTCATGTGCTCAGGGGATTCTCGCGGTACTGCAGACTGAACCAGACTAAATTCACGTGGGCCACCCAGAAATTTTTCCCATAGAACTCAATGCAAATTAAAACAGCTCGACCTCAGCTGACAGAGAACCTACAGCTTTCATTAAGGTCGGATTTTGTGGGGATTTTAGTGCCCCTTGTCATCCTGAACTTTTTTTCTTTTTAAATCAATAGGTTTTCTTTTAATCTTCACTTTAGTGCAACAAACTCTGCTCTCTTTTTCCCGCTCTTCCGCCGCTCTAGCATCCGCAGCTCGCTGATTGGTCAAGACGTTGCCAAGCCCCTCTGCTCGCGTGCATGAGAACCATACGAGCGTGCATTCCTCGCGTGAACGCGCTCCATTCGGCTCTGTTGATGACAGAGGAGCGAGGGAGGAAACTGAACCGAACTGACCAGATAAACACGAAATGTACATTGACAGCATTGTTGTGGTTATTGTTAGCTTCATTAAGAGTCTATGTATGGTCTTTCCTACAGCGTTTGGAGTCGTGTGAATTCGTATGACAGTCATTTATACCAATATGAGTACAATAAACATAGCTATTGACTTTACAGCGTCCATATCAAAACCGAACTCAAACGTGATGATTACACAAGAGCTGGCGAGAGAGTTTAGGTATTCACCATGAATGTTGTAACCCTGCCAGTCAAAGGCAGCACAGACACACACATTTTAAGTAAATGCATTCATGTTTTGCTGTAATACATGTGGCAAGTGCTAATGCAGATTAGGATTCACATTGTAATTTAAAATAAATAAATTTTGTTGCTTAGTTCGATCGCCCTTCAGTTTTCTACTCATGGTCATTGTAAATCAAAAATGTACAAATCTCATCTTAATTACATAAAATCGAAACATATTTAAATGTATTGAATAAATGTTTCTATTTACAACAAAATAACAGAAGTAGGAGTCACTAGCATTCATGTGGTGACAATAATATTATTCTATATGTTCAAGTTAGATTGTCTGTCATTCTCTTAAAATGTGTTGTACATAACTCTTGCATGGCTCTAAATACAGTTCATTTGCTGTGAAAAAAATGACGGTTTTAGTTTTTATACATACTTGAATATCCTATTATAGACAGCTGAAACAAATACGTGGCTTAACTAGTTTTGTTTTATTTAACCAGAAAAGTCCCATTGAGATAAAGAACCCCTTTTTCAAGGGAACTCTACAGTTCAAAAGTTTGGGGTCACATTGAAATGTCCTCAATGTTGAAGGAAAAGCTGTAGATAACTTTAAACTAGTCTTAACTGTAAAGAAATACACTCTGTACACTGCTTATGTGGTAAATGACTGCTGTTCTAGCTGCAAATGTCTGGTTTTTGGTGCAATGTTGTAATTGCTGCAAATGGAGGATTCTTTGACAAAAGCAAAGTTGGATGTAAAACAAATCTTATTTCTAATACAAATCATTATTTCTAACGTTGTCAATGTCTTGACTCTATTTTCTATTCATTTCACAACGTGTGGTGGTGAACAAGTGTGACTTTTCATGGAAAACACACACACACATATATATATATATACATACATAATGTGTGTGTGTATATAGAGAATAATACTTATTAATTACGTTAATATAATAATTACAATTCACGAGGACAAAAGACTAAATCATAGCTTTTTGATCTATCCACAATGGTCTTAATTATCCTGCAGTACTTGTTAACACATCACTGACATTTTGCTTAAAACACGGCGGCCTACAGGTGAATGCCACAGTATAAGCGTTACGAAAAAGTATATAATCATTGTACATTTAGCTTATCATAAATACTTAGTAGATAATGATTAAGAATCAACAACAAGAAGACTCTGTCATACTGCTCTACACCATCTTAAAATAATTGATCAATTGTACATATATTTTAATATCAATCTTTACTTAAACAGTGATAGAACTTGATTCGCTCGATTCATGCGCGTTCACGAGTCTGTGGTGCTGCACGCTCCCGCTTGAGGTCCGCG